TTTGCCATCTTAACCAGTTTTGGGCTTCCCTGGTGGCACTAGTGGTAAAGAATGTGTCTATCAATGTAGGTAGATGTAAGAGACACAGGTTCAATCCCTGGATCAAGAAGATCCCCTGGAGGAGGGCATGGCAACCCACACCGGTACTCTTGCCTGGAGAATCCCATGGATGGAAGAATCATGGACTTTTTGCAAGATATTTGTTTCTCAGAGTATTACATTAAAATATAACTTGATTGCTGAGTTTTTGGCACCCCTTACATTCTGTGTCTGAACCTAGTGCTTTTCTTACTTCACTCTGGCCCTAGCTTTCCAGGAGCGGCAACCCCAGAAGGCATGTAACTTAATCAAGCTACTATAAGTGGCTGGTTGGTCTAAATGGCACTAAATTAGGGGGCTCAGCATTAGCCCTACTTCTTCAGGTCAAATGTCCACTCGGCAGGGCAGGTGGCTGCATCACCCCAGGGGAGGGAGAGACCACACTACAGGGCTTGCACACGTGTCCTCTGCCCACACGGCCACACCGTTTACTGGCTCTGGCACAGCGGCCAGGATGCTTGGGCTGGTTGAGATCCGCTGGACACACTGCCCCTTCCTCCTATTTAGTGCCTCTTCTCTAACAGATGTTCTTTTGTGGGTATTAAAGTATGATTTAAAAACCGGCTCACAAGTTATATATTAGGGTGAAGGGCAGCACTTGACTCAGGAAAAATCTCTGGAGACGAAGAGAGCTGAAGAAGTCCACGAAGACACCCAGGGAAGCTGGGGGAAGCACAGCTGGTGTCAAGCATCTGGGTGGGACACCAACTGCATCTGTTATAAACACGTGTCCTTTCGGCCTGTCTTGTGAGTACTGGTAACAGTGAGTCATGGACTGGCCTCGCCTCAGTATCACTGCTTCATGCACCCACAGATTTCACATTAGGGACACACATCCTAAAACGAACAAAGCGAAATTAGCTCTATTGGCTCATTCAGCATATCTGCTGCTGCTGCTATGTCTGACTCTGTGCGACCCCATAGACGGCAGCTCCCCCATCCCTGGGATTCTCCAGGCAAGAACACTGGAGTGGGTTGCCATTTCCGTCTCCCAACTCCTTTCTAGCTGTTTCCTAATTCTACATCCAATTTTACTTCATCAACCCGTCAAAATTATCCTTTCAAGGTATGTAGTCTGAAGGTATGGCTGATTTATAGGTCCCTTGTAATAGCAAACAAAGATAGATCTCTCACTACCTCAGAACATTAAACACCTATTCTGAGATCCAAATGCTTAGCTCAGGTTCAGCGGAACAAATTCCCAATACATGTTAAATTGGGGAAACACATTCACTTTGACGTTACTGAAAAACACATTGGAATCTTAAAGGCAAAGAGATGAAGATTTACAGAAGTAGAATCAAGATATTTAATCAAAAGAAACCACGTATTTAAAATATATATCCTTAAAAATGTTTGTTGAATAAATTGTGTTGACATGCTATATACCTTCACTTACTGCAGAGTAAGCTGCAGCACACAGACAGGAAAATGGAATGCTTTAGCAATAATATTTTATACACTATTGTGCCATCTTTACCTTAACATGGTATACAATATTTCTAGGTAGAGACCAGTTGAACAACTTAGATGATCCCTTGTCAAATAAGTGAGGTCTAGGGAGTATAACAGGCTTCACTGATAGCTCAGCTGGTAAAGAATCTGCTTGCAATGCAGGAAACCTTGGTTTGATTCCTGGGTCAGGAAGATCCACTGGGGAAGGGATAGACTACCCACTCCAGTATTCATGGACTTCCCTGGTGACTTAGACAGTAAAGAATCCTCCTGCAACATGGGAGAGCTGGGTTTGATCCCTGGCTTGGGAAGATCCACAGAGGAGGGCATGACAACCCACTCCAGTATTCTTGCCTGGAGAATTTCCAAGGACGGAGGAGCCTGGTGGGCTACAAGCCATGGGGTCACAAAGAGCCGGACATGACTGACTAAGTGCAGGAAATATAACAGGAAATAATGGAAGCTAACAAACATCATTTTAAGATAGTGGCTTTTGAATTGTTTTCACAAATAGATTAAACATTATGAACTGCAACGTGTTTTATTTAAAAGAAAATTCTAGATGTTGATTTGAACTGAAAGTACAAGGCTTTCTTTCCCTTTCATAGTTTCCTCTTGAAAGGTTTTTTTCCTGTAAAATACATAATACACTGTTACAAGTTGATTATAATGAGGGCTGATCCTAGAATAAAGGAAAGAAAAGCCAAATTTGGCTAATTTTGCCTCATGAGGAATGAATCTGTGAGCTGTATGTGTGTTAAAAAGCATATGTAAAATAGATAGCAAATGGGAATTTGCTGTATGGCTCAGGAAACTCAAACAGGGGCTCTGTATCAACCTAGAGGAGTGGGATGGGGCGGGATATGAGAGGGAGGTACAAAAGGGAAGGGATATATGTATACATTTGGAGGGAAACTTATGACCAACCTAGATAGAATATTAAAAAGCAGAGACATTACTTTGCCAACGGAGGTCCATCTGGTCAAGGCTATGGTTTTGCCAGTGGTCATGTATGGATGTGAGAGTTGGACTGAGAGGAAAGCTGAGTGCCGAAAAATTGATGCTTTTGAACTGTGGTGTTGGAGAAGACTCTTGAGAGTCCCTTGGACTGCAAGGAGATCCAACCAGTCCATCCTAAAGGAGATCAGTCCTGAATACTGATTGGAAAGACTGATGCTAAAGCCCCAAAACTTTGGCAACCTGTTGGGAAGAGTTGGCTCATTGGAAAAGACCCTGATGCTGGGAAAGATTGAGGGCAGGAGAAGAAATGGGTGACAGATGATGAGGTGGTTGGATGGCATCATCAACTCAATGGACATGAGTTTGAGCAAACTTGAAGAGACAGTGAAGGACAGGGAAACCTGGCGTGATGTAGTCCATGGAGTCACAAAGAGACAGACACGACTGAGCAAATGAACTGCAACATGAAATGGTGCTTTGTTTCTTAGAGGTCCAGTTACCCTACCCCAGTGATCCATTTGGGGACTTTGTGCTTTCTACAGCCATAACTTTGGGCTCAGTGGGATTCTAAGTTCTGATTCACAGAGAAGACTTTCCCTCCTGAGGACACAGCAAGAGTCCCACTGATCTTGAAGCTATGACTGCTTTCTGGTCACCGTGAGCTCCTCCTACTAGTATCCCANGGATTGAATTCATCTCCTCCGGAGGCCAAGAATCCCAGCATCTTATCGTTCAGCAACAACCTTTCAGCAACAAACACTAATATCAAAAGCAGCTTTTTAGAGGAATGAGTGAGGGGAAAAAAATGAATGCTGGTATGTTCACAATGAGATATTTTGACAATCCCACATACATTGTTTTAAATTTTTATATAGCAGCTCTGTAGCTTTTGGATCAGCATTAACATAGCTAATGCACACAAATCTATTAGTGTAAGAAAAATAGTCACAAATGTATCTTATACATCCTAAAACAAGCTATAAATATAAACTGATAAAAAAAAAACAAAACTCAAGATTGGAATAACCAGAAAACTCAAAGTATAATTGCAGTTGAATAATATGAGGTAGAAAGATTCAAAGGTAAAGACTAAGGAGAAAAACTTTAAGTGTTTACTAACAGTTCAACATTTTTATTTATTCTACCCTTGGATATTTCATATTCACAGCAGCAAGATCAGTCAGGACTTATACAACCCTGAAATTCAGCAAAAATAATAATGTTCTGTTTCTAATGTTCTATTTACTAAAAAAAAAAAAGTCTCAAGGATCTTGATGGATTCTACATCCATCTCTGTTTCCAAGCCAGGGAACACTTGTACCATTAAAGAGAATGTCCTATGACCAATGTTCCATCTCAAAGGCCCCTAAAAACTGTTTTGTGTATCCTTCTTGTAATCCATGCTTTCTAACTTCTATGCCTTTCACATATATACCTTTAAACATCCTTTCCTTGCATTTAATCAAATCATACCCGCCCTCCAAGTCCTAGTGCTATCCTGTCACCAAATGTAAATGCACCCCCCACAACCTCTGGTCTGTACCCTTTTGACTGGAATATCAGAGGTTCCCATGACCACGCCTGGGGCAGTGACTTCCTAGGACTGCTCACAGGAATGAACTTGTAGTTATATTCATCCCTATGGTTTATTACAATGAAAGGACACAAAACAAAGCCAGCAAAGGGAAAAGGCACATGAGGTGAAGTCCAGAGGGAACTGGGAGCTCAGTTCCAAACATCCACAAGTTGACTTCCTGGGGAGTCACACAAGATGTGCTTAATTCCTGTAGTTGTGAGTGTTGGTAACATGAGTCTGAGTAAACTCTGGGAGCTGATGATGGACAGGGAAGCCTGGTGTGCTGCAGTCCATTGGATTGCAGACTTGGACACAACTGAATGACTGAACTGAATGGAATTTTTGTTTTTAAGGTGAAATAAAAATCCAGTATATCTCTCCTATGCCATAAGCTTTCAATACTCTGGTGTCTTGCTTGGATTTATAGATAATCTAGAAAGCAGTATGAGTTTTTCAGCTATCGATTCTATAAAGTAAATATCTTACCAAACTAATGTCTTAAATTGCTTTTTAAAACTTGTCCTGGTTAAATTCCAGCATAGTTGAGCCCAAACTCCTGGAAAAATTGAGTTCATGGAAATAGTACCGTGATGTTTGACAGTTTCCACTGATGTGTGTGGCAGCTCTCTGAGCTCAAGGGAGAGAATTAACATGCTTTGAGTGACACTCTGAAAGCAGCAAATTACTTTTTGCATACAGCACTGAAGAGGAAAAAATAACTTCACTCATTTTGTAGTGTGAAAACATGTCCTTTCATCACAGTAAACCCTTAAAATAGTTATTACCATTAGCAAGTCATATTTGTACATTGGTCACAGATAACAATTGCAGGTAAAACATTGTAAAATATTTACTTGAACTCATAAAATATGTAAATCAATAAACAAGGAAATGAATATACTTCACCTACTTTTGAGATATTACTTGATCGACTTGCAGATCGCCTTGGGGATTTGTCATTCTGAAAAATAAAATTAGAGACATTGATTAAAATATAGCAATAATCATTACTGCTGAGAAAAGAAAGCATAGCGCAGGCCAAAATGTAGAAGTCCTTCTTACTGTTCTGACAGACAAAATAATCTTACACAAGATGGTATTTCTCACACCAAATTTTATTTCTATAGTACATATTAGTGTATTTTTTAAAAAAATGTTTCAATTAGTATCAGGGTTTATACCAATCTAGGAATATTTGTTTCTAGGAAATGCTTATTTCTCTAGAAAAATAAATGCAGTTCCTTTGAAATAAATTTATAAATGAAAATATAGGCCCTTATTTCTTTTTTGGCTTTGGCTACCAGGAAATTCTGAGTAAATTCTGATTCTCAGTGTCAGTAAATATTGCATCCGTGTGCAATATTTGGTACATGGTGCATAACATCTAACTTGTATTCTTCTACAATACATTTTGTTTGTCTTTTCTCTTATTTTAAAAATGAGAGAAAGTTTAAAGACAATTTAAAAGGTAACTGTTTAAATTAGAAAATATTTTAAAATTTAAAACTTAAAAAAATTAAATTTAAAAATTATACCTCTGTTCTTGCCGCCTAAGGAATTTTCAATTTAGGAGAAAAGAAGCATGCACAAAGCTCTTGAATAGATACTTTTATTAAAAAAAAGTCATCCAATTTTAAAGTAAAAAGGGCCCCTGACAAGTGGCACCCCCTAGTTAGAAGACCATAGGCATTGTGCTGCCTTCACCCCCAGAGCGCTTCCCGAGCCAGGGCCGGTGCAGGGCCTTCTTCCAGGTCGGTCACTCTTCCCACTCCCCCAGTTATCTGCTGGTGGGTGACTGATTGGCAGTCAGGATGTGTGGGTGCTCTGCGTGTTACACGCACCAAGAGATCACAGCACATCTTTCCTTCTGTGTAGAAAACCTTGAAAGACCCTGCTCTGGAAACCAATATTTTGTGAAAGGTCTGTATTAACATTTTAGAAATCTTTAAAAAACTATTTCTGAGCATCTGGACTCAATATCACAGTGGATCAGAGTAGACAACTACAGTGCATCTTGACAGAAGTCATATTTGAAAATTAAGTTTTTTCTTATGTTTTATTTTTTTTTCCATTTATTTTTACTAGTTGGAGGCTAATTACTTTACAATATTGTAGTGGTTTTTGTCATACATTGACATGAATAAGCCATGGATTTACATGTAAGGAAGCTGTGGTACATATACACCATGGAATATTACTCAGACATTAAAACTAAGTTTTTATAACAAGCTGCAGGTCTGAAATTGCCCAGCAATGACTGCTGGAGACAGTTTTCAGAAACACTGTGATAAGGGGATATGGCAACGTGTCAATATGGAAACGCAGTGGCTGCATTCACTGCAAACTGTCACTGAGTCTGGCGCAGGCTTGCAGGCATTACAGCTGAACAGTACTTTTTCCTTTACATGCACCTTCCATTTCATACAACCCTGAATGTCAGTGTGAAGCATGTTATTACAGACCGAGATGAGTCACAGCTATATGATTAGTTACACCTTGTAACAGCCCTGTGATCCAGCTGGAGATTAATGTGTGTGTTCCCCAAAGACATTTTTCCTTGATTAGCTTCCCCTGGTGATGGAGAGAGTTACTTTTCCACTGACACTTCAACTCTTCTTCTACAGACAAGAAAGCAAAACTAATCCATCTTTTCTTCTCAGTGAAATTCAGAATTTTGACATCCTACTTGATAGAAGAGCAGTCAATGATACAACAGACTTGAGGGGAGTTTGGTTGTCCTCATTGTTTCACTATGTTTTCTATATTTATGTGATATTTGAGAACCTAGCCAAAGAACTAGAATTGAAAGGCGCTTCAGCAAGAACTAAGAAGTACTATACAAACTGAATTTGACATCAGGTTACCTACTTTTTCCAACCAAATGGGACTCTGTAGTGTTTTGAGATAAAAATGATGCTCAGATCCTTCCACAATTGTGAGTGAGTTCATCATGGGGCTACAATAAGCAGATAATTCCCACCGCAGCTCCCAATCTAGCAGCATGGGGAACACCTCCTTGATTATTTAGTATTTCAAAAGATCTTCTACCTTGAAATCTGTTAGTTCTATTCTCTTTTAATACAAGGTTAGGCATTGAAGGAAGTAAACAGCTTAGACAAGGGCTAGCATTTTGCCATGGCTAAGGTCTCTATTATTTTTATTCCAGTTTACACTTGGGAACAGAGAGGTTACCCTATTGCTCATCTGCAGTGATGTAAAATTTGGGGTTTTGATGTGAACTAGACTTGTACCTCTGAACTAGTTCTAGCAGGAGTGTATTCAAGAGCCCAGGCCTCTAAATTACTCCCTGTGAAATGGGGACTGGATAGAATGAGTTATAGATGAAAAAAATTATAATTATAGATTACAAGATCATAATATTTCCATTATTATTCACAGGTAGAGGAAACACCCAAAGAGCTCCCTCAAAAATCATGACAGTCATCACAAGTTACTAGATCTGTAATTTTAATATAAACACCCTAGTTTCTCTGTCCTGCAATTCCACCTCCATTGTGGATTAGATTCTGGCATATAAAACTTAAGAATGGAATATCAAATTGCTCTCTACCAAAGAGGATTAAGGAATTCCAGTCTGCCTTGCTTTCAAAGCAAGGCATCAGAAGCATTTTCTTTCCCTCATGGAAAATTTCCAATGCAACCTGTCCAATTTGCAACTGATTAATTGGGTGGTTTGTCCCATTACTATTGCTGTGATGTGTTCTTTTTTCCTAGATCAGTGAAATATGGTTGTCATACCTCATTATGATCAGTTTAAATTCTTTACCTTAGATTAAATAGAAGCTGTCACAGAATATAATGTAACTTACTGGTGCCCAAATTATAATGATCTTGTAGGTCACTAAAAGTTGAAACCAATAAGAGTTCTAGACAAATCTACACAAAAATTAAGGGATCATGAAGCAATAACATTGATGAGATATTTTAGTAGATCAAATTTAGCAGCTTATTCATGGCATGCAGGGAGAGAAACTTCTAGTTTCACAAGTGTTTTAAAATATTTTCAAAAGATTATAATTTTTAATGTATTGCTAAATTTTTTGTGATGATTATTATTAACATAGGATATTTTTTTTTCAATTTGACCTTACTAAGAAAGGGTTGATTTTTATCACCAGCAAGAATAAATGATTACCAAATAAGGAAATCATTACTAAATTGTTTGTACTCATTTAACATTATAATCTAAGGAAAATGACATAATCCCTTTAAAGTGGAACACTGTGTTAAAGAATGTATGATACAGTGGACTTGTATTTACCTACAGAAGACTACTCTCTATATCATACCAGTAATCAGGAGAGGGAAGTAAAGAAGCTTGAGGGAGGATTTTTGTTTGTTTTTTAAGGAAAAAAAAAATCTATTTCTGAGTGCAGAAATCAGAATAAGACAATTTCAGACCACTAATCAGACAACAGATATGATGGTATTCTACAGTTTTCTTCCTTTGTCCTCCCCACCCCAGGCTAAAAGACAAGAATATTTGAAAGAAGAAAAAATGAGGCAATTTTGAGGATCATCTGAAAAATTCTAAGTTGATCATGAAACTATTGCTGCTAAACAATTAAAGAATTAAAGTTTAAAATAGAAGAAAAATCTTTTAAAGCAATGTGGCTTGTAAACAAAAAAAAATGACACAGAGACATTGAATAATATAATAAAACTCAATTAATAGATTTATTAAAAATGTCATGCCCCTTAGATAAAAAATACTTTAAAAAAAGCTTATGAAACATTTAAAATTTATCTGGCTTCAAGTAGTACCTCAACAAAAATCTCCAAGTAGAGATTTTATAGGGCACCTCTCTTGATATTAAGCCAGTAAAATTAGAAATAAAATTAGAAATAAAAATTTGAAATGTTACTAATAAATCTTGATCACCTGAAAACTAACCCATTTTAAGATAAGGTTTGGTTCAAAGAAATGAAAGCTTTTGGAAAATTATAGCCAGAAATTCTGGAAAACATTATTTTAAGACTTACATAACACAACAAAAGCTATGTCCAGATAAAATTTTATGACCTTAAAGACTTTCATTATTGAAGAACACAGTAGCAAAACAATTTTTTTTAATGCAGTAAAAACAATAAAATATGAAAGCTAAAACTCATTACATGGGCATAAATAAGAATAAAGAAATAATTTATAGCAGGTTTTTGATAATAATTACAAAGCAGATGAATTCCCTATGAGACTTTTAAAAATCTATTTAAGAGAGCAGAGATATGTAAGAAATAAGAAAGGATACAATCAGAGACACAGAAAATATTTTAAAAAATGTAAAAGAAGGTTACATGTAATGGTACTGCAACAAATTTGAAAACCTAGAGGAAATGAATCACATTTAGCAAAATAAAAGTTGTCAGAATTTATTCAAAAAGAGGGAAATTTGAATAGATGACTAACCAAGAGGAGATTGGATAAGTAAATAAAAGTCTATATTCCCTACAAAGGATAAGGGCATGATCATTTCACAATTGAGCTCTATCTTTTTTTTTCAATATTTGTTTTTCATCCATTTACTTGGTAGTGCTGCGTCTTAGTTGTGACATATGGAATCTAGTTCCCTGACCAAGGATCGAATCTGGGCCTCCTGCATTGGGTGCACAGACTCAGCCGCTGGGCCACCAGTGAAGCTTTGAGTTGTATCTTACTGTTTTGCTGATCCTGTTCGTGAGGCCAGTTGTCTTGCTGTTCACATTGTTCGCACTCTTCACTAAACCCAGGGTAGGCAAGGCGTGAGTTAAGAGGCTGGAAGAAGACTCAGGAGCCACAGGCACTACAGACACGTTTGTTCCCTCCTGGCTGGCCCAGCAGCCGTAACAGGATCCTCCTCTGGCTGACCCAGCAGGCACAGCTGGGCCACACTGGGTCACACAGCTGGCCCCACTCTAGGTGGAGCTCGCATATATGCGTGCTGCACATTCCCTGACCAAGTG